GTCCCAGTCAGTCACCAAGGTCATGGCACCATCCTTCTTTCCTCGTCAGTGTTGATATTATTTTGTTAATCAGTCACTAGAAAATACAGAACAACTATCGTATGCCCTCTTTTTCCTGCCTCTAGTACTTGTGCTCCAAGAAACAAGGAAACAAAACTGTTTGAGAAGTTGCAATCATAAAAAAATACACAAATTAGTTTTCTAAATGTTATGCATGCCCTTGAAAAGAATGTCTTTATGATTTAAGCACATACCTGATTATTGATGGTTAAAGTAAGAACTTTAAACCACTCATTAATCGAACTGTCATTATCCGATTGTATTAAGAGTTCAGTTCCTTGTCGGGTTTTCAACTTTAAAGAAAAGAAAGAACTTATGTGAATTAAAAACAAACACAAATATTCAAATATGATTCAGTGTTTCAGTACCATACACCAACAGGATGTTAAACAGGAGACAAGGATAAATATTTTAAGAAGAGATAATAGTAATGCAAAGACACTACTTTCCCTCTGATATTTAGCAGTGCAACAACAACTTGTTGCACCCCTTGCCCTTTGGAAGGGCTCCAGCAGAGCCCCAACTCGGGGCAGAGCACATGGTTGCTCTAGCTCCAGCACAGCCAGGTAGCAGCAGCAGTGGTGGCAGCACTGGCCTGGGCTCTGGCCAATGCTGGAAGCTCTGGCCCAGGCTTTGGCTTCAGGTCCCAGCCGGACCTACTGATGCAACAGGTGCTATATGACTGGGCTGAGGCTGAAGCAGCCACATGTTCCTTGCCCCAGGCTGCAGTGGGATTAAGCCAGAGGGTGGAGCCAGTGGCAGGGGGCCAGGGGCATGCAGGAACCAGGGGAAGGAGCAGATAATGGGGGAAGTAGTAAGAGGGGGGAAGGGATAGAGAGGGGACAGGCAACACAGGGAAAGGGGCAGGGGTCAGGCTTCTTGACTCCCTGCCAGCCCCCCCCCAACTGCTTTCCCTGCTGCAGCCGGGGGGGGGCATAGATTTAGGGTGACCCTCCAATAATTAGATTCTATACTTGGAAAATGTTATAAATTTGTTGTAATTTTCCAAGTATAGAATCTAATTATTGGAGGGTCACCCTAAATTCAGGGTAATCTTAGATTAATATAAGTAAAGATGTTACAAAATAAGATACTGATATAACAAGGTATATCAGTATATAGTTAAATGTTATTCAACACACAGAATCATTGTTATTTTACACCAAAATTAGGTCAACTGTTATTTACAAGATGTATTAAAATGAAAAAAGTCTAATGCCTGCTACTGTTTGCTGAATAAAACTTTATATCCCTAGAAAAAACAGATGAGTAAATCTCAAATAGCAAAGCCATTATTGTACAGTTTTCACATACTACATCCGTAAGTGTACACATTTAAGTAAGAAAAAAAAAAGTTATCTTGAAATGACACCACCACCAAAAACAACTTCTTTTAAAACAACAAATAAGTAACTAAATTCACCTCAATGACATTCTTTTTGCTGGATTTGTCCTTTGAAGCCCAGTCAATAAATGCCCCTCTAAGATCCACTGTAAATTCTGGCTTAGATTGATTAACCCCAAACTTCTGAAAAAAAGAATGACGATTATTTTCCAAGAGAAGTGACCCATAAAATGTGTATGCAGTCTTATGTTCCCCTGAGTGTAATCGATCTTTGAATTCTGCAGTCTACACAAGTTAACCTGAGTACAGTACTTTGCCATTACCTAGCTAAAGTGGTGCCCTGAAAAACAAATTATGTCTAAAGAAAGAACATGTTTTTGTTTAAAATATTTACTGGTAGTATTAGTATATAGCTGGCTAGCTTCAAATACAGACCAGACTCCTGCAGAGAATTTCTGTTTCACTATAACAATGATAAACTACACATAGCTGCATTTGATTATATATGATTTGGTCAAAGACAAGTGGTCCAGTAAAAGATACCACATACAACCATTCTTGCCCCTCACATTTTTTCCTGGATCACCACAGCTACAATATCACCCCAACTCTACAGGTGAAACCATTTCAGTGGTTAGCCAGTACCTGGGCTTAACACAAAAAAGCAAAAACACTAATAGCTTTGCTAGACATATAGTGACATGCCCTTAACAGAAGATAGTAAAATCACCTTGTGTATTAAAAAGGGACATCAATCCTTTACATTTAATAAAACATCAATTGATAGTTTACGTTAAAATTCAAGTTTTACTTAAAATGTTTCCCTGATGCACTTTTTAGCACAAATACTGCAGAACTCGTATGCGAGTACGTTGAAGCAGAAAGCAATTTCACTGTCTAATCTAATACAGAAACCTGAACAACAAGCAAATGGTGAAAATGTGATTTAACCCACAAGCATCCAGTCAAACAAGGGGTGGGGGAGAGGGGGGCATCTGTAGCTTTTTTGTTTTTTCCCTCATGGCACAAACAGCAATATGCTTGCTGAACATGGAGTGTTACACTTCCCAATTTAGCTTTAAAAACATAATAAAAGTAAACACACCCTCATAGACCAACATAAACTCTTAAAAGTGAACTTGGGCATTTTAACAATTTTAACCCTTTCATGAAACGTCAACTTCCCTTAAAGGCTTCAAAGGTCAATGGCCCTTATATAGTCAGAAAGCTGAAGTTTGGTTATGAGTAATTTTTGGTTCCAAGGCTGTTAGTAGCCAAAAGGTGAGATTAGAAATAAGGAGGCAGCGGTACAAAAATGCAGGGGCATACTAGGACAGACTTCCAGCTGCAATAAAGTAATCACTTAAACATGTTTTCTGTTTATTGAAAAGTGAATATAGTGATCATGTAAAGCATTTATTTGACAACTAGACATTAAAAACCCCTGATTAGCTACCGAAGAAAGCAACACCTATACAAACTCCAGTCTTGACAGACAGATTTCAAAAGGGCTCAGGAGGCAAGTGTGAGAACAGTTCAGGGCCCATGCCTGTTTCATTTCTTTGCTCTACTGAGATTGTTCCCAAGCACCAGGATGCCAGTTAGCACTAATAATTTTGTAACAGACACTGTCCTGTAGGACTGTGGTTCCCAACCTTTTATATACTGTGGACCGCCAAAGTCACTCTAAGAAACTGGGGCAGAGGGCTGGACTCCATGATCTTCTGAGGTCCCTTCCAGCCCTAATGTCTATGAAATTTTGGCAGAACAGGTCTAGAAACAATCTAATTTACATATTTAAGTGTAATTAACATATTTAAATGTCATTGGGGGGTTGCAAGGATCGGGTTGGGGCACCCTGCAGGGGAGGGGGCTGCACAGGCAGTGGCCATGGAGGGGGACCCAGCTGGTGCTGCCCAGGGAGAAGGGGCTCTACTGCCTCCCTAGGAGCAAACAGCAAAGCTGCCTCCCTGCCCTCTACCCTAGGCATTTCCCCACCTGCATCCCCCTGCTCCCAGCCATGGGTGGGGTTGGGGGGTCCTGTCTGGCCCAGCACAGGCCCCAGTACCTGCTGCATGGGCAGCACCTCGCCAGGTGCAGCGATGGTGGCGGGAGCGGGATGGGGTGCGCAGAGCCAGTGAGAGGGGGGAAGGGGAACAGAAAGGCTACAAGGGAAATAAATTGTGAGGGGCAGAGGGCAAGGGGGCACCTGACCCTCCTAGGTACTATTTTCCCTGCTGAAGTAGTGGGAGGGGGAATGAAATCAAGATACTCGGATAATTAGATTCTACACCTGGAAGATTATAACAAATTTTTTAATTTTATGTATACAGAATCTAATTATTGGGGGGGGTCATCTTGCATGAGTAAACAGTATTTTTTTTTCTTCACAGCAAAAACAAGAAAGAAAAATTACTGAAAGAAACGGAATCTTCAGAAAGATTTAATGTTCCAAATAGACAGCTGTAATTTCATTCTTCGATCTTTCTGTCTGTATGCTGAACACAGCTAGGAAATGACAGTACGGTATTTATAGGCTTAGTATATAGAACCTTAGTATTCAGACTACATGCATTAAATGCAGATGTTAACAGAGAAGGTAGATTTTTTACACAGACAGTTGAACATTGCAAAGCTCAGATCAAGTCTGCTGTATTTCAGCAGGTCACAAATTTCACACACACACACACACACACACACACACACACCCACACACACACACACAGAGTAAGTAATTAACCCTGCAAAGCAAGACTCAGTTGAAATTCCAAAGCACAAAAAATCCACATTACTACTCTTCTGCAGCATTAAACCTCACAGGTACAGTAAGCATGTTAGTTAGGTCCCATCTACACATTACACTCAAGGCACAGAGGATGGGACCTAACCAGTTAATTGCACCTTAAATGGTCACCCAGCCGAGTGTTCAATCAATTACTGGAGTAATAAAAAGAGGAATAAACTACAAAGCTTATTCCACAAAATGCGGAGGAACTTTGTAGTAGGTTTCTATCATGCCATTAACTGAACATGTGGTCGGGGCCCCTGTGGCTGTCATGTGCTCCCATGTGCACCCCCCATACCTGGAAGCTGACAGAACTCTAAGCAATGCCCCCCCACCCCCGCCCACACAGCTGCTGCAATCTCCCAGCTGCAGGGTGCAGACTGCCCCCACTGCTCAGAGACTGCACCAGCTGCATTCCCGTAGCTGCAGGGCTGCATGAAGCCCCCTGTGGCTTGGAGACCACAGTAGCTGTGATCTTCCAGCTGTGGGGCTGCGTAAAGCCCCACCTCAGCTCAAAGACCCAGCCAGGGGAACCTGGGATTGGGCTCCCCCTGCACTGGCAATAAGGTGTGATAGGATATACTGCACAATCCATGCAATCCAACCCACATGCCACATTTGCATGGCAGGAGGTGTGTTTGTGCAAATCATGCATCAGATACCATTGTTTCTTTACCTGCACATATACAGGAGCCCTTAATTTGCACTAAACAGAAATCTGGGCCTAGTTATTTCTTGCACATTGAACTGACTGGAAAAGTGATTCACTCAATACCTCTTTATAATCTTATTACATGGCTAATTAAATGTGCAAACACACTCTTATATTTGCCTACTGTAAAGCCTAAAAAAGGAGATCACAATCAAAACTGATTCTAGTAAATGAGATGTTGGCAACCAGATCGAGTCTTTTGTATTTTAACTAAGGGCGCAGACAGAAATTGTATTTTTCAAGTGACCTGGCCCCTGAAAGCACTCTACAGCCAAGTTCACACATGCATGGCTACAGAGCACTTTAAAAATGGCCAATTGCATAAAAAATTAACCCTGGTTAAAGCAGGTACTACATTCAGGTGCTCAAAAGCCGAGTGCTTAGGGAACCTGTGCTTTGCACAGGTGGTCGGGTTGGACTGGTGCCCTGCCCTGCGCCTCCTGGACTGTCAGGGGGAAAAAAGCGGGAGCTCCCAGCTGCTGAATGGCCAGAGCTTCTGGGGTGGAGAGGATGGGAAACAGGATCCCCCTCACCTCACAGCCCTCCCATTGTAGCAGCCGGATCGGACTCCTAAGCAAGAGGGCTTCATTCCCACCGCCCACCCCCCCAGTTCTGGCCATTCAGCCACCTCCTGGGAAGCTGCTGCAGTGCCCCTGCCTGTTGGCTTGGGATGGTGGAGACTGTCTCCAACTCCCCCCTCCCAACCAACCCAACAAGTGAACATTGGTTGGGGTGAGGGGAGACAAGGAAGGGAGTCTAACTCATGGTACTTTATGTAAAGTGCCATGGGTTAGAGTCGGGCCCTAACATCTGCCTGCACCCTGAATTTAAAAGTTAGCAGCTCTGTTTCCTTTCCTCTGGGGGAAGCTAAAAGGTTCCTTCCACCAATATTCCGTCTTAAAGGAATCAAAATTATTGCTTTATTGGCTTCATCTACAGCAAAGGGGAAAGAAAACTGAAAATAGTTTTTGAAATTTTGCATTTGAGCTTAATCATTTACATTCAAAATGTTTGAGAACTGAAGATAATTGGTTTCAGAATAATCTGACTACTTGCCCTTAGCCATAGGCTAACAGTACAACCTACAACTATTTAATCTTTTTCTGAAGATATAACATTTTCATACTTATCTTCACTATATAAAAAGAAAGCTCTCCTTATAAATTCATATGGCATTTGTATATGTTCTCTGAATGCTGTGCAATAAAACATCTCTGATCTTTTTACAGTTCCTCTGAAATGGACATCTAGGGTATCACTTTAGGCATCTTAGTCATGTCATCATTATGTATTTCAATTACAGCTAGAATTAACCAATTTCAAGCACACTGGGTCAACCAAATGCACATAAAATAGTTTCTAAACATCCTAAATTAGTAGTTAGAAAGAATTAGGCACATAGCCCAAAATTTGTTAAACCGTATTATATCATGCTCTTCATTAGTCAATACACTAGTGATTCAAATGATAGGTAAATTTTGGATTAGAACTTCAGTACTGATCACCAGCACAAGCCTTAACAATGAATTTCAAGCAAAAATAACAAAATACAAAGAAAACAAAGTGTTATGTAAAATGGTATGAAAGTTAACTCAACAATTCTGGGCCAAAAAAAGACATTTCAAATTTACTTAAGATTAATGGTGACTAAAACTGTATTATGAGTGACAAGAGGCATGCAACAAG